TCAATTAAAATGACCCATTTATTTAACAACTTTCACTTTCAATGTCTTCGAACATTCTTCTTGCAACTTATTCTCATCTATACACTTCGCTCCTTCGCATTTTATCCTTCTTAGGATGACACTCACCTTGAATGCATCATGCGCAACGTTGACCGTGCCAATGGTTATCACTTTGGCGATACCGAAGAACGTAACATGCAGTCATTATTGTCATACGCAGCTGGTTCCGAACTACGCACTGATTGGGTCTGTGCCGCCCAAGAACGCTATACCGCGACTTGTCAGGACAAGGACAAAAAGCTCGATGATGATGATACTAGTAAAGCTGAAGTTGAACCAACGATTGATTTGATGGCTTGAGGCCAGCGAATAACAACAGTATGTTACTGGTCACTTACTGAATCCCAAAGAGAAAATTTTTTGTTTGATAAGATTTCTTTTTTACTTTTTCTTAACTATGTGGATATCGGTTCGTTTTAAGCATTATCTAATTGTGCATAGGCTTTAATTGGAATTCCGCTTCGGGGATATAAATCCGACTCACTTATTATGCTACCCATCTGGTCTCTTGTATAAAACGCTGATCAAACAGCATTTCACCTGGTAGTCTCGAAATTCTACTTATATACGAAAAATAATATCTCTGACTCCAGTTACCTTGGTATTTTGCTTTTCTACTGCATAATTCATCTCCTGGAATTTTATTGTTTATAATTATAAGTCAGGCAGAACAACTTCTAAAAGTGCTAAGTTGAGGAAATTGACCATTCTGGAAGTGATATATTTCAAAAGCACACTTAGTTTATTAGTCCTGACTAATTACTATAAAGTATCAAGGCAAAGCGGTTTAAGGGAACCTATTTTCCTTGCATTGGCAGGAAAAATGCACTAAACAATAGAATATGGCACCAGGCATTACATTTAGAATATCTAGCGGAAAGAAAAATTCTAACTCCGAACTTACCGGATCAAATCTTTTCTTAATCAGGTCTAACATTTGCCAGATCCAACTTCGTGTATAAAGTTAGTGATTTCCACGTTATAATTTATAATATTTCTAAATTGAGAATTCACTAAGGTTGCGCAAAATTACTTAGCATCTCACTTCAAAGTGAAAAAAAGCACAAAAAGTAGTTAATCAGCCCAAATATGTATTCCTCCCCAATTAAATAGAAGTGGCGAGGGCCAACCCGAACTATGCCTGTGTAGTTTTTCATACGTATGTCTAACTTCATGTGATTGGGAGGAATGGATTAATATGGTGGCCTTACTGGAATTCAAAAGAAGGGTCTGAATAACAGCTTGTGTACAGGGGTCTTTTACGTTATCTCCTCCACTCATCATTTCATCCATAATACAAGGCCAGACGATATAACACTGTAAAGA